GGTGAGGTTTGGAGAGACTAACAGGAAAGGGAGGTTGACCCTGAGACTTACTTTTCCTTCTCTAGGAATATCCTGAATATTCCTCATGTTGCACAAAGATGGCTGAATAATCTCTGGACTGCAGATAACTGTGTTTAGGGATGTATATTCATGATCAAAAGCAAAAACTGTCAGCAGGAAACAAAGAATTATTGGCCCAGGGAAGTAGGTTGAGTGTTTGGCTCCTCTTGCTCAGGAGCATTTGTTAGTTGTGGAGGTGGCTGAGACCCCAAGGGGGCTAGTGACATTTTGACAGCCTTACCACGTAATGGGAGGGTATTATAACCGAAGGCCTATCAAGTGGGGGCCTCGGTGACTTCTGAATTCACTTTGGGTTGGGCTCTGAAGAGCAGCTTTCTAGAAGCAATGGTTAACCTGAAGTAGACAGGTCCTCAGAAGGACTGCAGAATAGATTTGAACATCTCAATTCATGAAGTCAGAATGCAGTGTTTCCGAATGGCTGATGTCTGCAGAGTCCTGGCAAGCACAAGGGGAGCACTTTTTGGAAAAGATGACATTGTTATGTCACCCTATGTTTAAAGTTACTTTTACAAATAATTTTGAATATTTGATGTCTAAAAATAAATTAAAAAATTCAGACAGTATAAGACAACCTAAAAGTTAATGAGAGAAAGAAAAATAATTAGAATAGAGATATAAGGACTCGAGACATAGAGATCATCAAAATAGACTTGAAAACAACTATAATTAAATTTTTTTGTATCGAAAGACACACAGGGCAAGAATTAGAATATTGCAGGGAAAAGGAGATTTTAAAATAAGTTCCAAATGGGTATTTTGGGACTGGAAACACGATGAGAAGTTAACTTAAAGGATGAAGTTAATAGATCTGCCAGAGTTAAGGAAAGAATTGCTGAACCAGAAAATCTAGAATGAAGCAAAGTGATATAAAGGAAGAGAAAATAAAAACAGGAGAGTGAGACACAGAGGGGACATAGGGAAGAAGCCTAGTGTATGGCCACTTAGATTCCTAGAAGGAAGAGAAAGAGTGTGAAGGCAGAGACAATGTTTGATGAGTTAGATGGCCTCAAGTTTTGCAAAATCGACAAAGAGCATTAAAAAAAAAAAAAGGAAAAAAGCCCTTGGAAATGTTAGAAAGGCTAAATAAAAGCATTTGTATATTTTGCATATGGTTGTTATACTGCAGAAAACTTGGGCTGGGGATTTAGCTCAGTGGTGCTGCCACCTGCCTTGCAAGCACAAGGGCCCAAATTCAATCCCTGATACCAAAAAAAAAAAAAAAAAAAAAAAAAAAAAAAAAAAAAAAAAAAAAAGAAAAGAAAACTATGAAAGAAAATAATCTTTAAAATAGTCCAACATTACTTTCAGAGAAGTAGCACTTAGACTGAAGGCTGATTTCTGCACAGTGACAACATTTGTCAGCTAGCTCAGAGTTTGTGCTCAGTGAATGCACCCTTCCAGAAAAAACATGAAATATTTCCAGAAAATTCTTTAGATCAGAAACTGCTGTAAAATAGACACTAACTAGATGGTATACTTAGGCAGTGGGAAAATGATCCCAGATGGAAGATCAGACAGAGGAGACTGAGAAATAATGGAAATGGAATCACATTAGGACTGATATGCATTAATATTTATGATATACATTAATATTCACATCCACAACAATGTCTGCAGGAGCTTAAAGTATTTATAGAATAAAACACTACTACGTAAGTTGGGAAAAGAACAACTGGAGTTCTAAGTGAAATAAATAAGTCACACATGTGTAAATACCAAATAGTTTCCCTGGTGTGAATAATCTGCAATAATACATCAGATCCTGATAAGATTACTGACATTTAGAAATGGGAAGAAAGGAGCTAAAGGTGTAGGGAAGGTGGGATGGGTAGGGGAAGGGTAATAAGGGAAAATAAAAAAATGTGAGATAATGAAAAGATGAAAATAAAGTGTTTGTAGATGGGGAGGGGAGGAGGGGGTGAAGGGAGGGCAGGGGTAAGGGGAAAAAATGAGAATCAAGACCTGTCACGTAGAGGTACAAGATCCCAACAATGAATGTAACTGTACTGTATCCCTAAAATGTACCAATAAACTCAATTAAAGCTGAAAAAAAAAGAACAACTGGAGTTAAAATATTTTATTGTTCTTGATTAGTCAAAACTGCCATTATAATCTCTAGGCTAAATACTAAAAAAAGGTAACAGGCTAGATATCATCTGTGAAAACAGAAGTAGTGAGATTAGAAAAATAATTCTGTGAGTAATTTTTAAAAAATGGACTGTCCTTATGAAAAAAACAAAAATAAAGAAGCCCATAAATTTGGCCCATACATAAAAATCAGTTCCAGGCAGTTTGTACTCTATCTGTGAAAGGAAAAATAATAGTGCTTCTAGAAGATAATTTAGGAGGATGACTCTATGATATCAAGACAGGTAAAGACTTATTTAACAGAACAACAAAAACATTGAACAAAAAGGAAAAGATTGACAAAATTTGACTACAATAGCATTCATTTGTTTGTACTCCGTATGGAGAGTGAAAGAACTCTATAATGGGAGATGATATTTGCCATGTATATGAACAAAATAGGTTAAACAGTTGGTAGAATATGTGAAAAAAATATAATTCCATAAAAAAATTGGCAAGGGATTTGAGTAGACAAAGCACAAAAAAAAGGATGTCCAAATGACCAATAGATCGATGAAAAGGCATTTGATAACATTAGTCATCAGGACTAGGAGGAAATATCACCACATTAGCTCAAATTAACATTGCAGATGATATCAGGTATTGGTGAAGATTTTGAGCAATGTCAACTCTCATACCTACAGGATTGGTGGGAATGTAAATTGTCTCAGGCATTTTAGAAAACCATTTGTCATTACCTATTAAACTTTAAAATATGTATGTCTTATGATCTCAATAGTTTATTCCCAGGTTTACACCTAACAGAAATGCTGGTGTGTGTGCACAAAGACGCATAGACAAATAGTTTCTACGGCAGAGTTATTTGTAATAGCCTCAAACTATAGAAAACTGAAAATGCCTGTCACTAGTAGAATGAGTAAATGAACTGGCATATGTGTACAATGGAAATGAACTACAATTCAATGGAATGACTCCAACGAATATGATGTGTGGATGAAACCAGATGCAAGTGAAAAAATCCTGCATGCTTCCGTTTGCATAATGTTTTAGAATGAGGCAAAAACTACAGTACAGTGCTGAAGGACATGTACTTAGGTGATAAAACCACAGAGAAAACTAAGGAAGCAGTGGCAGTAATGGTTGGATAGTGGTTAGCTCTGGCAGGGGTCAGAGACTGTAGTTATTAGGAAGTGGCAAGATGGGTCAGTCTGGGGTGCAGCAGTTTTTGTTTTACTCTGTGGTCCCATGGCGGCATCTCTTTGTAATGAAATACTTCAGCTGCACTTTTTTATTTCATGAGCTTTTCTGTATTTGTGTTATAATTTGCATTTAAAAACAAGGCAGGAGGGCACATAAGCCAAGTGATGTCCTAGGACAATGCTTGGAGCAGACTGGAACTTTTAATGGTGGCTTTATTTCTTGTTTGTGGAATGCATTCACAGGGCTGTACTGAAAAAATGTCAAAATGAGGAAATGGAAATATTTCCCAGTTTTTGATGCCTGTTCAACTTTGGCTAATTTTCAATTCCTTGGAGAGGTGAGCATTTTATAGTCATTCAGCCTCACAGATCAACTTTGATTTAAAAATCTGACTGAAGGCAACATCTTGAAAAACAAGTACCTTGTGAGGGAGCTAAGCTTTATATGTTTGTATCACTGGTCTAGGACTGCTGTTGTTTGTGGCTACTATAAATGAAAGAAAATCAGAGCAAACATTTTCAAATAACATTCTTTGAAATATTCATTAAGGTGTATCCTCAGAAGTATTTGCAAGAATCCTTTCAAGTTATTGTAACCAAAACACAGAATGAGTTTCCTTAGTTTGTGTCATACATTACGGACAAATCCTATTCACTCCCCGTGTACCGAACCTCAAAGCTATTGCACACTCTGCTCCCCAGGAGCTATAAGCAATACCATTGAATTCTGGCAATTGTAGTGAGAAGTCTTTACAGGACAAATTAGAGCACAGGAAGGTTTTATCCTGTGAAGATGAGCCAACTGCCTTCTTGGAAAATGGGGTCAGGAGGTCTGGACATATGAATTGCTGCTGTAAATCCAAAATCAAAGTATTTAATTAACAATGCCAGGTTGGTTCTGCTGAACCTTTACTGGTCATTCCAGAGTTTAAACATAGAAATTTTATGTACAATTTAATGTAATACACATTTGTTGTGCATCTATCATGTGGAATGGAATCTAACAATGTTGGCAAATTCAGCCTGTCTGAACATAACATATACTAAGGAGACAGACACACACACAGGCACAGACAGACAGATGCACTGACCATAGTTTGAAGGTGTCCCCTGTGCTAGGTATTGTGCTTTGTCCAACATTGCATGTTCTGCTCTATTCCAGTCCTCACAGCCACCTTTTAAGATGGCCATTTGTTCTTTTCTTTTTAGAGAAAAGGAAGCTGAGGCTCAGAGAGTTTAAGTTCCATTCCAAGGTCACAGAACTAAGTGACAATGACTGTGGAAAAGTAAAATATAGTTTTGCCCTGTGGCTCCCAGGTACCATGACAAATACCTCATTTTTTAAATCACATACGTCTCTGACTGAGTTCTATTCCTACTTTGAAAGACTCAGCCCATTTGTAGACAAATAAGGATATATTTATCCTTCCAAAGGGAAGTCAAGGAGAAATCTATACCATCATAAAATGGGGGAATGATCTGTCCATACCTTGCACGGAAAATACATATTTCCCAGGCAAAATGATGAAATTTGTGAATGCTTCCTGGTGGAGTTTCCTTCTGAAATGCTGGCAAAGGGGAACTTCAGAGAGTTATGGGCCTTGTGGGGAATGCAGTGGGCCAACCTCCTACCTTCTGATTGATTTTCATTGTCTCTTCAGTGTGGTATAGAAGGAGCTTTTCACCAGAAGAAGTCAGGTTCACATACACCTGAAGGCAGGGGTACTGGGAGAGTTTCCAGCAGTCTGGACCGCAGCTGAAGGAGCAATTGAATGTTTCTGTGATGGATGCATTCAGCAAGGTGCATTGAGACTCTTCGGTCCACACACTGCAGAGAAAAGGGAGAGTAAGAACAGGCCCATGAGCTACTGGCAAGGAAGGTGTGATTGGAGATGTCCTGAACCTGAGAGTCTTTTTGAAGTTTACAGTACCATCCTCCAGTGCATAGTTTATGCCTTTGAGTAGAGCAGCTTTAGGTAAACTACAACATAGCATAGACAAACTTTGGTGCCTGAGAATTTTCTCAGTGATTTCTGTTGGACATAATATTCTCCAATGCTTGATTTAGGTGAGTCTTTTCCTGTATTGAAGAATCAAGTAAGCACAAGGCATCTTTTAAATAACACCTACACTCACCCTGTATTTCTGTATTGTACAACTTCTTGTCAGACTCCAGTCCTTACCTCAGCTAGGCTTCACTTTGGGCCTTCTCCATCTCAACTCCCACCGCAGCCCAGTTTGTAGGCAGAGAAGATATAAGGAGGAGGGAAAGATCATGAAAGGAGTGGGGTCTAACTGGGCACATGGCAAGACAGTGACATAGTGCCTTAAGGCCACTGTCATCAGGGATGAAAGACAGCCCTCTGATTACAGCAAAAGAATCGCTTAGTACATCTTTTAAAAACCCTAGTTGGTGCTTTACCAAAGTTATTTTCTTCTGTCCTCTCAACAACCCTGCAAATTGAATATCACTTCCTTTAAAGAGTGAGTTAATCGAGGGTCAGAGAAATCAGGCAGAACACAGACAAAAACACCCAGCTGGTGCCTCATGAAATCTGTGATTCTTCCCAGTCCATTGTTTCTTTAAAGCTCGGACTCTTTCTATCTGACTGTCTCACCACCCCATGAAAGCGCTGGAAAGAAAACTTTTCTATGCAGAATAAGGGTTAATAAGGATGCCCAGGCTCTCTCTTCTGGAAAGATTCCACCTGCCCATTGGTCAACTTCTATTTTAAAATCCCTTTAGTTTTTTTTATCAAGGTTAACATTTGTAATTAGGACGTAAAATACCGGAAATAAATGTTTTGCTTGTGGACATAAAATGATTACCATAGTCGGGAAAACAACATGCTTTCATACAGATTAATTCTCTTTTCTCTGCTGGGTGTTCACGGACAGCTCCATGCATGTGTAGAGGTTTTTTTTTTTTTTTTTATCAAGGATAACATTTGTAATTAGGTTTTTTTTTTTTTTTTTTTTTTTTTTTTTGCCACAGGCGAGAGACTACATGAATGGTCAGATTTTGCTTATACAATGAGGAAAAAAAAGCCTGCGATGGTTATGAGCCATCTGCAACCATGGGGTTGCAGGAGGGTTTGGAATCAATGAACACGGGGCTGCAGGCATCAGCGCTTGCACTGAGAAAGAGCACTGCTGAAGGCCATCAGAGAAGCGGAGCAGAGCAGTCAGAAATGTGAAAGATGATTCCTTAATTTTAGCAAATTACTGTATTTCAGCTAGATCTTGCTTCTAAAGTGAAAGTATTAATTTAGGTAGAGAAATGAATGCCACAAAATGGTCTGAATTTCTTTTGGAATGAAACCTCAATTTGTCTTTCGAAAAGGTCGTGTTTCTTTAAGCCAGACCACTGTGAGACCTCCCCCAGAGATACCGCTGGGATTTATCACATGGTTTACTCAGGAAGAAGCGCATTTGCTGTCTCACTATTTATTTACCTCTTTAACTGTTCAGTCAACTGAAGAAAAATGTTAAAATGAAAAGTGTTCAAAATCTGTTATTTTAGAAAGTTCATGCATAGTAGTGTTTGTCAGCTTTGAGAGTATATTAAAAATCACTTGGGGGAGCTTTACAAACTGCTGACAATTGGGTTCCACTTCAAACCAATTTAATCTGGCCCCATCTAGGGTGATGGAGTAGGGCCTGGGTATCAGCGTTTTTAAAGTTTCCCAGAAAGTTTCAATGTGTTGTTGAGAAATACTGATATGGAGGGAGGTACAGGGGTGGTATAGGGTGGAAAAGGAACAAAAGTGGGGACCAAATAGAGGCAAGAAGTGGCAAGAATGCAGAGTCTATTAGTGGAATGTAGCTTTGAATCTTAACTATGCCGTATGCCAGAGCTATGTGACGTTGGAGGACAGATTATCTCTATTTTGAGCCTCAGTTTTGCCATTCTTATAATGAGTATATTCATACTTAGAGACTAGTTGTGAAATTGAAACAATATAAAAAAGTCTCTGGCATGTAGTAGGCAGTTTATTTGCAGAGGTACCTTTATTGTTTTTATTAAATAATATTATTGAAAAATACTATGTACCGGGCACTTCTGAAAGTTCTTATTAAGAAGGAAGGTAAGACAGAAGAACTTGGCTTGAGAAATGTGGGAGGGGAGGGAAGAAGGAGACCAACAGTGGTCCAGCCACCCAAAGGCATTACCTCTGCATGTATGAGCGCAGGAGTGTGATTCCCAGCAGAAAGTACATCATGATGGAGCACACCATCATGGCCAATCCCAGGAGAATGGCCCGGTCCTCTCCAGCTTTCAGTGCTGTGACTGTTTTCCTTTTGTCCAGGAGGTCATGGTCCCTGATTTTTTGGTAGAAATTTCTGAAGTTGAAAACAACACAGTCTGATATGAAGTTCACAGTTAATTGGCATGGCCTTAGAGAGCGGGTAAGTTTGTACCCCTGCCTTCCTAGAGCCAGAGACCTAGAGGAGCCCTGTGAGCCTACCTTAGTGCAGTTGGATTCCTGCATATCACTACTGCCTCCAAAGACACACACACACACACACACACACACACACACACACACACACACACACACACACACACACGCATAAATGTATGTGCACCAACTCAGCAGAAAAAAATTCTCCTTCTTTGCCTTGGGGCTCATCTCTAAATATAAATTAATTTTCTTTCTCCTCAGCTGTACAGAAAGAAACCAATGCCCTCAATCTTCAAAACAGTGCTTTGGCTGTGTTGGCTTTACCATTTATCAAGCTGATCAACACTAAAATATTTTACAATTTCTGAGTACCTAATTGAACAACAATTCAAAGAAATAGCAGCACACATCAGAAATCTACCAACTGAATCTCTATTTTCCCTCTGTAGGGATAGACAGAAATTTTGTTGTTTAACATTTTTCTGAAGCTTAGGGTTGCTTATGGTTCTGTTGGCTTGAGATTTATAAGCAATGTGAAGATGTGAAGACTCAACCCTTTTCTCGTATGTGTAAAGACTCAAGTGAATTAGAAGTGTTAATCAAGGCCAGGGATTTAGCTCAGTGGTTTTGCCGTTTGCCTTGCAAGTGCAAGGGCCCAAGTTTGAGAAGTCAAGAAGTGTTAATCAAATCAAGGACAGAATCCATAACTTTTGACAGTTTCATTAGTACTTTTTTTTTTTTAGCACGTAATATGATGAGAAAGACCATGAGGCTGGAATTATATTGTTTCCTATGTTTAAACCCAGATTTCACTGCATTCTAGGTGTGTGATCAATAATAAATATCTTAGCCTTTCTGATCCCCATTTTCTTGCAAAGTGCAAATAACTTTTAAATGTACTAGAATAGTTGAATGAGACAACATAAGTAAACTACCTGGGAGAATGACTAATATGAGGTATTTAATAAATGTTCCTATTCAAATATGGGATGAAAAGCCATGCCTCAATGACATAAAAGTTAGGATATCCTAAAATTATCATTTTCCAAAGAATTTCTAAAGGACAGAATGGCAAGGAAATGAATAGTGTAGAAGCTTAGGAATGAAGGACTAGATTTAAAAGAAGGATAAGGCAGAAAAAACAGAAAAAAATCTTGGGTGTTGGATGCTCAGGAAAATGCATGAGATGTATGGGTAGGAAGGAATTGCTCAGGAATTACAATGAGGCTGGTGACCAAAGTATGGTTCAGGCTGACCTGGCTTCTGTCTTAATAAGGGAGCTCTGGATTGTAGGGTAGTGGAAGTGGGGGGAATTCATTGGCTTTTTGAGTCTGTAAACAGAGAACAGGACAAATAGAATACTAAAAATGGAGAAGGAAGTTCTTAAGTCCTACTTTCAATTTTAAACAAAAAGGCAATATGCATAAATATGACTTCAGATTTTCTTGCAATATTTTTTTCTCATTGAGTTTATTGGTACATTTTAGGTATATAGTACAGTTATATTCATCACTGGAATCTTAAACCTTTACATGACAGGTCTTGGTTCTCAGTTTTTCCCTTTATCCCTATCCTCCCTTCACCCCCTGCTCCCTTTCCTACTTAAAAATACTTTGTTTCTATTTTCTCATGTTTTTTTTTCTTTTCCCTTATTACTTTTCCCCTACCCTTCCATCTTCCCCTACACCTTTAGCCCTTTTCTTCCTATTTCACGTTGTCATTTATATCATTAGGATCTTATGTACCATTATAGTTTTTCACAAGAAAGAAACTATTCAGTATTTATACATGTGTAACTTATTTATTTCACTTAGGAGTATATCCTCAATATGTATCCATTTTCCTAAGAATGACTCTAATTTCTCATTATTTATGGCTGATTAGTATTCCATTTTATAGAAAAGCCATATCTTCTTTATCCAGTCTCCAACTGATGGGCAAATGGGCTGTTTCCATGTTTTAGCTATTACAAACTGTGCCGGTATAAACATAGGTGCACTTATATCACTGTGATATGATTCTTTTAATTATTTTGGAAATATACCCAGCAGAGGGATGGATGGGTCAAATGGAACCTGTAGTCCCAGATCTTTGAGGTATCTCCATATTGATTTCCATAGTGGTTGTACCAGTCTGTACTCCCATCAGCAATGGAGAAGGGTTCCTTTCTCCCCACAACCTCACCAACATTTGCTATTGTTTGATTTCTTGATAGCAGCCATTCTTTGTGGGGTGAGGTGAAATCTCAGTGTTGTTTTCATCTGCATCTCTAGAGTGACCAGTGATGTGTAACTTTTTTCATATATTTACTTGCTGCTTTTACTTCTTTGTCTGAGAAATGTCTGTTCATTTCAAATGCCTATTTTTGAATTGGGTCTTTATATTTGGGGGGGTGATTTTTTTGAGTTCTTTATATATTTTAGATAATACTCCTTTGTCTGAGGAGCAGCCGGTGAAAATTTCATAGAACTAGAAAAAAATAATCCAAAAATTCATTTGGAGCCAGAAGAGATTTAGAATAGCAAAAGCCATTTCAGGCAACAGAGACATGGTAGTGGGTATAACAATTCCCAATTTGAAACTATACTACAAAGCCATTGTGATAAAAACAGCATGGTACTTGCAAAAAAACAGACCTGAGGATCAGTGGAATATATTGGAAGATACAAAACAACTCAAGATGTACTCAACTATCTCATCTTTGACAAAGGAGCCAACCATCCTCACTGGAGGCAATATAGCCTCTTTAATAAATGGTGTTGGAAAAACTGTATTTCAACCTGCCAAAGATTAAAACTAGACCCTTATCTTTCACCATGTACTAAACTAAAATCCAAGTGGATTAAAGATCTAAATATTAAAAAAGAGTCACTAAATTTTTCTGGAAGATAAGTTAGGCAGAACTCTTGAAGACACTGGCATATTAAAAGACTTTATGAACAAATACTCTGTAGCACAGGAACTAGCAGAAAGAATCAACAACTGGGATCTCATCTTATTAACAACCTTCTGCACTGCAAGAGAAGCCACCAACAGAGCTAAGAGACAAGCTACAATGTGGGAAAAAATCTTGCAATATTTTTGAATCACTATCACTCATGTTTCCCGGGAAAGAAACCACAGTAGAATCCAGTGTGAAATTTTGTAAAGAATAACTTCTGTCAATTCTTCCTGTTATTTGTACAATTATCTATAGATTTAGGGCCTATGTTTAACTTTGTACTCCACAATGGCCTTACTGGTGTTCATGATCAAGATCTGTTCTGATTGGTTGGTCCATTCTAGGCTGATTGTTAAATATTTTGATTGTATGTGAAGGTGGGATGGTGTATATGTATTTAATATATTTCCAAAAGGGATTCGGGTAGAGTGTTTATTAATGTAGCTACTGGTGCACAAAATTAACTGATGGGCTATCATTAACATCTTTATTTTAAAGTTCTCTTCATGAGATAGTTGGTACAAATCTTACCATTTCTTTGAGGAGTGGGCACATTGTAGGAGGAGAATCACAAATGAACAGATGACTCTGTTCATCTTTTCATAGTCACCACTCACTCTCAGCTGCTTAATATCATTGCCAGAGGCCCAGAGAGACTATATTTTTCAGCTCATAAGGCTGTTGCACTTGGGCTAACTGGCCTGTCCTCCTTTTGAGTTCCATAGTCTGCCAATGATCCTCCTCCTAAATTTCCCTATTCTTTTTTGAGGTTTTCTTTGGAAATTGTAGGATTGAATAAAAGCTCTTTAAACATGACCTTTTATGAACTTGAAAAAATTGGTGCCCATTAGCAGTAAAAGCCAGTTGGCAGAAAGACTTTTGAAGCAGAAAAAGACAGGCTGAGGCTGAGTGGCTTCAAAGACCTGCTGCAAAATAATAATCGGCTGTTACTTTGCTAATATTATTTACCAACATGTATTTAACTCTGATGGCTGCCACTGAGATTTGCACTTCCCACAGATGGAAGCCATCAAGGAAGAAGCAATATCCTCACAGTTCTAGAATATGAGGCTGTCACACAGCATCACATATCAGTCCATACCCACAAAACAGATGAAACACAGTCAATCAGTTACATCACCAGAATGAGAATCATATAAAAATGATTCAAACAGGTAATTTACAAACAAGTCACAATTTCAAAAGGTAGCAAATGTTCTTTATATGCTCTAGAATGGACAGCAAGGGGGAGAAATGATTGGTTGTTACATAGCACATAGGCCACTGTGAAATCAGGGGTATTGCTCAGCAAAATGCAAGTGTTAAGTGGGCAGAGTTCATCAATAATTAATGCATAAATAAAGGAATGAATGAATAATTTGGAAGGGCAAATAGTTCAGATTAGGTCCACAAATTTGTCTTGAGTGTTGATAATCTCTTCTTTCTGGGGATATGGACCCCTTTGCATAAGAAGACAGATATACAATAAAGGTTAACACAGAATAGTAGGTTAAATGACAGTTACTCATAGAACTTAATGAGAATACAGGAGAGGGGCAATTTCTTCAGCTCAAGGAAATGGGACAGAGGGCAAGGGTTGAGCTTAGGGAAAGTTTCCTGGAAGAGTAATGTCTTAAACAGAATTTTCAAGGCTGATTCATGGTTAACCAAATGAGACAAGAGTAGAGGACATTTCAGATGGAAAGAATCACATAAACAAAGGGATGGAGACTTAACAATTGCATAATGAGTATCAGAAGCATGTTAGTATCCCTGGAATGAGTGTGAGGGAGATGAAATGGGGCAGATATATTTGGAAAGGCAGGTGGGTCATGAAGGGTCTTGTAAATCATTCTAAAGAGAGTGCCTTTTATTCTATAGTTAATGGGAAGGTGTCGGAGGGTGGCATGATTAGAACTGAGCTCCAGAATGATCACTGTGGCTGCTGTGGGGAGATTAGTTTAGAAACAGAACAAGACAAATCAGAGTGAAATGGG